GGTTGTACATCTCGACGTCGATATGATCAATCAAAGGGTTTTTCAACATTAAAACTATCTTTCGGATGGATTTTCGAGGTGCATATGTAGCTCTAGAGGTAAAGTTGCAACTTTATATAAACTTTTTCCATATATATATATATATATAAAGTTGCTTGTGGCTTTGAGATTGAGATTTCTGTAAATGCAGCGTTCTTTTATCTTTCTGGATCTTTAACAGTAAAACTACATAAATTTTAGTATGCTTCATTGCTATTTTCTCCTTCAATATGTTGGTTTGGTGGTGCTCCAATTCATCATTTCCCTTCATAACCATTTTCTCTTGTTTATACATTGACATCAACCTCACTTCTAGAGTTTTTCACAACAAAATTTCAACCTCAATTAGTATTAAATCCCTGCAATTAGGTGGAAGGTGGTCAATATTTCGTCAGGACCCCGAAATCTATGACGAAATTTGCCGAAATTTAGGATGCATGATAAGAATTTTGTTGGGAGGCTAAACCACCCAATAATCAAAGGAAAATGAGTCAATAAGAACATAAACATTTAATACAATAAACAAATACATAAACCAACAAAAAGTAGGTATACAAAATGAATAAACTATAATTAAGACTTAGAAAAGATGACAATAGAGGGTCGAGGCAAACATTCCCATCAAGGAGATGATGACAAGTGTCAACTCCTTATTAGATCTGATTTCCTAAGGAGGGGAATGGAAGAATGCTTTCTTGGGAACAGATCTAACGTGGCGGTCACCTTGGGATTTCCTGCCATTTTTTTAATTCCAAAATTAATTTAAAATAAGTCTTGTAGTGAAAAGCACGTCTACCACCCAACACTCTCAACTTAAAAAAAGAGTAAAATGAAGAGAGAGGAAGCACATCAAGTATGATAAAGGTATTGTAAAAGAAAAATTAATAATCAATACAATAACTAACACCACAAAACGTAATTAAGAAATATATTGAATATCATTACTTATTAAAATATGAAGAAATTAGTTAAATTGCAAATACCATGGAGTTTGGACCCCAACATAACTAAAAAAAATTAACAATAAAATAAATCAATGAAGCAGAAAAAAACGCCGTTGCCGTGTTATAATGCTTAAAGAAAACGTATGGCACGTGCCTAGTGACAAATGGTTATGATTGGCGAAGGTGGGCTCATAGGTACGTGTACGTGATCTCATCATTTACTAGATTTAGACCTCATTGGTTTCATTATTTCATAGATTGCAACATAATTAAATAAATTTGATTTATTGAAAGTGTGTAGTTTTCAAAATTTTCTTATGATACATAGATTGCAATAGAAGAAATGAATTTGCTTTAATTAGTGATTTAAAGCGCAGAGAACCGGATCGAAAACTACTGATATGGATCTGGAATCATTTGGGATTAATTCGGGTTTGGCTAAATATTGAAACCAGCCTGACCCCTCCCTCAAATCGTCTTTTTTATTTTATTTTCTATTTTATTCACCGTTTCTTAAATTTTTAAACCTAAAACCCGTTTCTTCATTTTTTATTTTTTTATTTTTGGATTTTAAGGATTGCTGATGGGGCAGATCCAAAACAAGATATCAATAAGTGGATAATCCACCACACAAACGTATTTTAAAACATCGGTTTAATTGAAACGTGTATTTTTCAATGTTGTGCTCATTATTCGCAGATTGCAATATGTGAAATGAAGTTGTTTTCTTCAAAGCGTTTAATGAAATCTTTGCACTCAAGGGACCCGGTATTTCAAGCGCAATATGAGAAGTAAATCTGAAGCGTGTGTAATTTTTTATTGTTTGCTTGACTCTCATTATTCTTGATTTTATTTTTTAAAATTGTATCTTATAAAGTGTTTTAAATTCAATCCATTCGAATAGTAATTGGTTTTGGGTACCGGCCGGTTCCCCTAAAACCCTCGTTTATATTTTTCGTATTTAAGATTATCTAATATTTTTTAAAGTCTTACTAAATCCTCTGTCATAAACCTCAATCTTAACTTCATTTAATATCATTTTAAATATTTTTTGAATCACCGATTCAAACTGATCGAGATTGATCTAGGTCACTAATCCAACGATCGAACGCATATGTATAGATGAATGATCCATCGCACCGAATTGAGATTTGAAACATGGATTTTACATATTTCATTATAAATTTGTTTTGATCTCAAAGAGTCTGATTATTATTGGACTTAGGAGTTTCATTATCTCTTAGGTCGAATAAAAGAAATAAAAATTTGTTTTCTAGAGGCTTGTACATTTCAAGATTTCATGGCATTGCAATATGAGGAAATTAATTGGTTTTATTCCTCAAGAAAAAACAATAAATTGATTTTCTCGAACCTTGCAATTTCCTTTTGCTTCACATGCTTGAGCCATCTTTCATAGCTAACCCCAAAGCGTCATGGATCCCCATGGAAAGACGACGTGGCATCATCGTCCTACGTAGCGCGTGAAACCCATCCACCTACTGCTTACGTGGACCGGAGTTCGTCAAAGAAATGAAAAATTCCCGGTGAATTTAAAAAACGGTCGTTAAAACATAACTAAGAAAGTAATGGGTGCAGTAACACTAACAGCAGGGACTTTCTCCATTTTTCTGTTATATCATTCTCTTTCTATTTTGCCTGGCTCTCTCTGTTTCACCTTTTCTTCTATGAAACTCAGATTTCCTGGGTATGGTAGCCTTTGCCGTTATATAATGGAGGTGCACCTGCCCGTTTCCAAACCTTGGTATAAAACCTTGGTCTGAAAAATAACAACAAGTTACCTATCAGAAAGAGAGAGGATTGTTGATTAATGAAGGACACCATTTCTATGAGTCCTAAGACTCATATGTAGAAATAAGTCCACTCTTAAAAATCTACTTTTGAGATGGATTTTGGACTTCACATTCAAAGAATATATCACCTCTACTGATATAGAGATCATGAATATGTAGAATATTAAAAATAATAATTTTATAAGAAATATTTAGATCATTGATTTTAACTTTTTTTAAGGGCACTACCCATTTTTAAGACGGACAACAATTTTCCATAAGCCAAAAAAATAACAAGTTACCTTTGTGTGAGAGAGAGAAGGAACATTAATTTATGGTTTGCATCCCTATTTTGAGAGAAAAAGGCAACACTTTATGAGGCAAAGTTGGAAACCAATATCCAAGTGGACCGCCGTCTCGACAAATAAGACCTACTTAATTTTTGTTCATTTTATAGTACTAGATTCCTATTGTTCAAATTTATAAAAACTGAGCAAGTTGATTGTGTTTCCATGATATGTACCTAGACACACACAATGATAAAATTAAAGAACCTAAACATTTCACAAATGGCCATTCTTCAAGGAGAAAAGAGTGCTGCATAGTAGCACTGTGAATGATTAAAAAATAGTTGATCCAACCCAAATCGAGCGAATTCGATAAGAATATGAAGGTGGATAATCAATCACATACGGGAAATTATGGGAATCGCCTGATTCTCCCGATTTTTCAATTGTTTTAGAAAATTTCCTTACGGTGAGAATTAGAATTAGATCTTGATCTGAGTTTTCAAACACTACTATAGTTTTCCCCCCTCTCAAATGAAGCTCCATTTTAACTTTTGGAAAATTGTTTCATACGGGCTGGACCGCATGACTACATATACGGTCCAAAAAGTGTAAAGCATCCATCTTAATCCAAGTAGGTGTTCATTTAAAAACAATGGTCCAAATGTTTTGTTACTAGAATTATTATTTCTAATGTTTAATATGTATGTATATTAATTAATTATATAATATTTATCTTACTCATATCTTTTATAAAATAAAAAATTTATTTTTTATCAAAATTTAAATAGCCAATCAAATAACACATCAATAAAAGTTTTGAAATTTATAACTTTATTAATTTATCAAACTATACCTACTGTAAAATGTTGAATAGTTCAATAAGTTTATTTTGATAAATTTTTCTTGCATTGAACGTATCAAAGTGATCCCAATTAGTTGAAATAATGAGACAAAGTAGGGCCAATCTGGTCCTAATGTGAAAAGTTAAGGAGATTTTCTCATTCATGCCCTTTTCGCTACTCGTGGTGATGCCATGTGGCTACTCCACACTTTGCCCTTTATCAAAACTGTTCATAACCTCCGTCGTGTAAAGCTCAGTAGCTCGTGTCTTTAACAGAACGGATAACGGTGAACGGCGAAAGTGAAACGGTTACTACAGGGGCAGTGGCATGTATAAATTAGAGGTAGAGGGCCTTTTAAGTCATTTTGCTAGAGAGACTCAAATCTAAAAGCGCCCCCCTCCCTCCCCCCCCTCCCACTCTCTCTCTCTCTCTCTAATTCTCTCTGTCTTCTGTGCTCTTTCTTTCTCTCTCATCAAAGGCACCAAGAGCGACTTGCTCTTAAAATTTTCAGGAGAATTTCGTGCCTCTCAAATTTCGCTGTAATTTCGGCGTGATTTTCTAATATAGAGGTTTTCAATCAGGTGGCTTCTTCTGGGCCATGTAAGCTTTCTGTTCCACCGATTTTTAAGGTTATTAGAGTTAACAATTTTCAGGCATTTTTTTTTATGCTTTTTGTGGTAAACTTTGGTTTCTTTTCTTCATTAGGGTTTGCTACAATTGTATTTCAATTTTGTTTTCTTTTGTTTTGGTTTAAACATACTGTCAAGAATCATAGAAGAATATGTGGGGATTTTTTCCTGATTTATTTTGCGTAATTTTTGTTAGATATTCAAGAACCGATAGATGGGGCATTAATTTTGAAGATATTTGACAAGTTGAAACATTTGGGCTGAAAAAATTGATGGTTTTGTTAATCAATTGGTCTCAATTTGATCACGTATTGGAGAATTCAGGGGAACTTTCTTGTTTTTCCATGATCTCAAAGAATTAACAAGGAACTCAAGGGTGATTGATTTTTATGGAAAAGTTTCAGGAATTGAGAAAAATCCATATGTTCTTTTAAATTCAGGAGGAGCATTATATGGAAGATTCATGTAAAGGATGAATTTCTTTAAAACTCATGAGGAGAATATCAGTCATGATTCCGCATTTTGTCTCTAGAATATCTGGCCTGTAAATTGTTTGGGAGACTCTGAACCCATTGCCTGAACGATGGGGTGTGCTGGCTCAAAGGTTGTTCGTCGAAGGGCTAGAGCGAACCCCAGCTCTCCATTGACGAGAAGCTTTTCGATGCCTGTACACCACCCTGCTCGGGAAAAAGGCCATAGCCGCCATGTTGTGGCCTTAACCTCGACCACCTATGGAACCCTGAAAATGGACATGTCCCCTGTTAAAGAGCCCTTCTCTGAAGAAGAAGATGATGGAGAACCAGAGGAGAAGGTCTCCTTCAAGCCGAAGAAAGCATGCCTCGACCCTTTGCTTGAGGCGTCGGCTAAGATATTGTTTGATTTCTCTAGCCCTAAGAAACCAGTTGATGAAGAACCAGAGACCATCAATACATGGGAGCTCATGGCTGGGCTTGAGGACACGAGCCCACTTCACCCAAACCCAGTTCTCGACCGGTCCTTCTCATTCCACACCACTAGAGACCTGGGTCAGGTCTTCCCTGACCCTTTGTACCCTGCATTCAAAGCCACTAAGCCCATGGACATCAAAGCCATTGAACCCACTAAGCCCATTGTGTCCATACCCATGGAACCCACTGCTCCCCTTGTTTCTGAACCCACCGACCCAATGGATCCTAAAGCCATTGGACCCACAAAAACAGAGCCCACTAAGTCCGTCGAGCCTAAATCCACAGACCCCACTGAACCTATTCTATTTCAGCCTAAATCGATGGAACCCATCGAACCACAGTTCGAGCCAATTGAGCCCAGCCCCAAAGGCTCAATAGGCTTAGACAGCAAAGAAGAAGAGGCAATGAGTTGCATTAAACCATTGTGGATGCAACCACAAGGTGAATCAATCCTATCGGATTTTGACCCAGAAGTGATGTCCACTTTTAGGAAAGCTCTGGAAGAGCTCTCACCCAAGAGCTCTGATCGAGCCCATGGCTCATGGACTACTGCTCAAGACCGGCTTAATGGGCCCAAGCCTAAAGGTGGCATTGTTCAATCAAGGGTCAGCACCTTTCAAGACCAAATCGACTCAAGGTTAGCCCGAAAGGCCAAAGATATTGGCAAAATTGAGCTAAATTCCAACCAAAATTCGCTGGATTCAGGCAAAAATGCCTCAGACACTGTTCAAAGTGTGGAGTTGGAAGGGTCGTGTATGGAAGAGGAGGGGGTGGTTGTGTATTATACGAGCCTCCGTGGGATTAGGAAGACATTTGAGGATTGTTGCAATGTGCGGCTGATACTACAAGGTTTTCGAGTGGTGATGGACGAACGCGACGTCTCGATGCACAGCAGGTTCAAAGAGGAGCTCAAGGCGAGGTTGGGCGGTGTACCGAAGGGAGGCGGTGCATCATTGAACCTGCCATTGGTTTTTGTCAGGGGGAGGTGCATAGGTGGAGCTGAGGAAATAAAGAGAATCCATGAGAATGGGGGATTAGGGCGTATCCTCGAGGGGTTGCCTACTGTTAGAGAGGGGGGTTGCGTATCATGTGAGGGTTGTGGAGGAGTGAAGTTTGTTCCGTGTGGAGAGTGTTATGGGAGTAGGAAGGTGATTTTTGAGGATGGAGCCTTGCAAAGATGCCCTCGTTGCAATGAAAATGGAATTGTTAGGTGCCCTCTTTGCTGTTAATCTCTACTAACGTACCTATATTTTGGTTCTTCTTTTTCCTTTTTTTTTTTTTCCTTTTTATTACAAGGTTTTTGGGGTAGTTTTTTTGGGATGGAGTTCTTGTTTTTGTTGTGGTGGTAGTTAGTGTACAGGGAAGTGTCTCTTTTTTTTTGGCAGTTTTTTGGGTTTTTGTTTAAGAATTTGAGGGTAGGGAAAAATGGTTTCAATTATTTTGAAGGATGTGGGGTTATAATTTGTAGTTTTCTTTCACAAGAGGAAATTATGTAATAGAATGAAGGATCGAATAACAGATCAAATATATACACAAAATTATGTCTTCTTGTGTATGTTTTTGCGTAATAATTGATTTCTTTTGACCTCTTCTCCTTCACACCTTCCCTCCATCAAATTTATAATTATTGGCAAGCTCTTTCTCTCTTGTTTTATGAGGATTTGGTCATAAATTGGGCCTAGATTGGGGTGAAATGACAATACCAAAGATTGATTAATCTTAAGAAAAGGATGGGGCCATGAGAATCCGAGACAACCCGGGAAACGTCCAATAGAGTTGGATGCAAAGTATATTTCTCACTTTCACTAAGGTTAGTTTGAGTTGTTGATATTTGTCCACGATACTTTTCACACTATCTTCAACCCTAATCGATTAGGAGACATTTTAGTCCCATTCGGCACTTCTAGATAGCTTCAACCATAATGTGACATGTCTCTGATTTTGATCTGATAAAATAAATTAATCAAAATACCCATTTAACTTGTAGAGCTATTTGATCATTAGTTTTGTGAGAGATGTTTGTATTATATTGATACTGGTTAGTTGAACGCACTCTAATTTTTATGTTTAGATGATTTACAGAAACATAATTAAAAAAACATGCGATGACCTTATGATCGAAGCTATATCAATTGTGAGAGTATGAGTAAAGCTGTCATAGCTTTGATGGGCTCAGAAAAAGGTGACGTGTAATAACTATTAGCCCCAATGTTTTGAAACCCAACAATTTCAAATATGATACACTGATTTAGATGGGAATAAGTCGCAAGCACGCACGATAGTATGGGTCCTAAACTGGATCCCCCAAAAATTTTAAGCTTGTGTAATGTTGTTTTAAGTTCCCTCTAGACCTCCAACCTATAGACCCTTGTGTTAATTTTTATGTTATTTATTTATTTTTAATAATTTTTTTGATCACTTATCTAAACTCGATCCGAATCATCAATCCATTGATCCGAGATGGATATGTAGGTAAACTATAGACCCCAACAATCCTAGTTTTAAAACTTTGATTTACACTCCATTCTCAAAAAAATATTTATTTTGTATCCTTTAAAAGGGGGAATTCCTTAGCTCTTGGGGGTTGGCTTTTTGACTTCGTATACATGAAGGCCCACAAGAGGAATGGACGGCGATTATGCCATCTGCCATCTGTGAACTGCGCGTATGGGAATTTGTAAGAAGAGTGCCTTTGAAAACCTTGGCAGATCTAACTGCAAAGCTCCGGCGTGTCAGCCGGGACCGGTACTTGCTTCCTTTACAATGTCAAAGGTAATTTAGGGTTTGGTAGGTTTTCATTTTCTTTGTTTGTCATGGAAAAATATTGGGCGAATGTGGGAGAGAAATGACATATGGAATGCTGGAAATGACATAACAGGAAACAATAGATATTTTTACCCTATTTTTATTTCGATTTTATACAAACTCCTTTCTTTTATGTCCTTTCTAATGTCTTTATGCTTGAACCTTTTCATAATTACTTAAGGATAAAATGATCCATTGATTTTGAGAGGAAAAAATTGTTATCTTCTCCTCAAAAGTAGTTCAATTGGTAATGGCTTGGTTCAATCAAAATTAATTCGGCGAGCTGTCTAATTGTTTGGAATAGATTTTTAAAAAATATAAGAAAAAATAAGAATAATAATTGAAAAGTATGAAATATATTAGAATGAAGTTTTTTAACTTTGTTAAACTAGTCGAACCAATAAAAACAGATGCCCTAACCGACCAAAACCGGTTAAAATTTTCTTCTAGTCAATTTTCGATCAAATCGTAATTTTGTTTTGGAACGGACCAACCAAAACATTGGTTGGTCTGATCAGATGGATCAGGTGATCCAATCCGGTTTTAATAACTATGTACCAACAAGCAAACAAGAAAGGGCATCACAGTCTCAAATTGCATCCCACTATTATTACATTCTTGGCAATTATGAATTGGAATGGCCACTGATTTTGATTGGCCATAAAAGTCGTAAGCGTTATGGTCTAGCGAAAACTAGTCCAATTGCCGGTGGAATTGGTTGGATAAGATTTCTAATAAGTAAAAATAAAATAAAGTAATAGTGTAAAATATGGTTATATTACAAAAAAAACTTTATCAAATTTTGTTGAATTGATATAATCTATTAAACTGACTACTCTAATGAGTCAAAACCGTTCAAACATTAATTTTACTTGATTTCAAATCAACATCAATTTTACTTGATTTCATATCAATATCAATTTTTACTTTAAACCAGACTAACCAAGACATTGGTCCATAAAACCATCAGTCCATAATGCGTTTTAAATAGCAAGTCCTTCTCTATGTGCCTCAAAAAAATTAACATCACAAGACTAATAAGAACCATCCAATTTATGGAGCACATGTTCTAGGTGTTCTAGAACTCAAAATCCAAACATGAACATAATCATCTAATCATACCAAGATAGATCCCAAATTTTGGATTTAAAAAAAAGAAAAATATCCTTCCAAGTAGGGTTTATGCTCGAGGGAGCAGGTGTACGGTATGCACCCACGAGAGCATAGTACATATTTTGTGTGAAAAGATCATACTGTGCATCTGCTCCCTCAGGGAAAAACTCGTATTATGGAAATTTTTTGGACACGTAAAATGTAGAACCTAATTCTCTATGTGCCTCAAAAAAAAAATTAACATCCAAAGATTGAACAAGAACTATCAAGTTTATGGACGGCAAGATCCAGTTGTTCTGGAACTCAAAATCCAAAGTCTTTCCATTAAAATAGTCATACGATGATAGTTAGTTACAAAAATTTTGGATTAAGAAAAAATCCTTCTAAGTAGGTCATTTGCCCCGGGGAGTAGGTATACAATATGAACCTGCACAGCATGTTATATGTGCTCGTTTGTGAATATACCATGCACTTGAGATAGAAATATGGCATCAAATTGAGATGGAAGATGAAATCCGATGCTCCCCGTAACATGCGGTACACCACGCACCACTCCCACAATGCGCGATACGAAATTGTTGGCTTAGGCTCCACTCAATTGAAAGTGTCGTATACGGAAGTCTTTGTCATGATTTATGGTTTGCTGGAAGGTCGATTTTGGCTCCAATAATCTCACGATGCTTAGAAAATCCATTTTAGGCCTCAATTATGAAATTTAAAAGTTTAAAATGATGCAAGGTCAGCAAATCTATAAATACTTGAAAATAAATAATCACATAACTTGTTATAACACTAGTTATTTTTAGGATTAGAAATTTTTTTATATTCTTTTTCATACATCTTGAAGTCTAAGTAATAATTGAACGGTTTTTTAATTTTAGAACACTCTTTTTCACTGGATTTTTTATGTGCACCTTACTTGTATAGTATATATAAATCAACATTTTAGTTGCAAGTGAACAATTTTGTAATTCAAAGTAAACTAGTGAAACAAGTGAGACATGTCATTAGTTTATAAGGAAAAAAATTATATAAAGGTGAAGCCCTAGACAGTCAAATTAAGACGCAAGTAAAAAATTCACTAGAAGAGATTGTTTCGATGCTTAAAAAATCCTCACTTCGATCATCTCGCCCACAATATGAATGGGTATAAGAAAAAATAGATTTCAAATCTTAGAAATAATATATCTTATAATGTATTATCTAGATCATCATTTTTAAGATTTTCAAATCTTTATAGGTATGCTCGAATCTGTATTATTTTAAAATTTTAATATTTTATAATTAGAAATGAAAATAAATTTTCGGGCCATCACAAAAATTTCCGATATTGAAACAACATGTTTCAACATTATTTAAAGACAAACACCCCTTGGGTTAGAGAGAACGAGGTCATCAATTTTGTATTTGCAGTCAACTAAAATGAAATAAGAGCCAGCAAATTTGTTCAGTCAACTTCATGTTTTCTTTCACAGCCAAGCCATGATGTTTATTCATTAATTGGACTTCCAAGTCGGTGAATTTGGTCATATATGGCGGACTTTGATTCTGTCCGGGTCTGTTACATTGACTTTCTTGATAAACCCCTATGGAACATTATAATAGGACCTCAAATCTTGTGATATAAAACTAGGATTTGAAATCAAGAAGAAGTTGAGAATCATACTGTAATACAGTGTTTGAAATCAAGAAGATGTGCCAGATTTTGGGTTTGAAATCAAGATAAAGATAGACAGATCTAGGATTGATAATCTTAAAGAAGATGAGGTAGATTTTAGAGATTTTAAGTAGGACCTGTTTTCTATCGGGTAGGTCCACTAGCTCTCCCGATATCTTTGCACCATCTACGCTGGATAGTAGAGATTGTAATGATCTAGTGCAATCAGTACCGTCCAACTAAACTGAATTGTTGGCCCGCATGCAGTTATACCGGCATAAAATGCTTTACCATTTTAATATGATCCCTGAGCTGCTCTGAAAAGAATAAATTTGGAATAAGGTGCCAACGGGTTGCATCAACCTAGAGATAAACCACCTCTCTCTCTCTCACACACACATACAAATTTGATCTAAGCTTAGGGCCTAGGGTTGGGAAATTTGATCTAAGCCTAGGGTTGGGAAAAATAGTGAAGGAGGATTTTTTTTGAAACAGTAATTTGGGGATTGATCCTAAAGCTCTTGTGAGAGCATAAGGGTTCCATTGAAGAGCATGGCCAAAATTAGCTTTCTCGGTTGAGATTGAACGAACAATTAGCTTTCCCGGTTGAGATTGAACGAATATCGTCGATCTTGCGCCATCGGATGGTGGTGACTCGATGTGGGGTTTAATAAGCCCGGTTGAGATAATCTCTGTCATTCTCTTTTGTTTATTGTATATTTAATTGTATAGTCTTTATATTATGAAGCACAACATTTGTGGTTATTTTTTTTTATTAAAGAAAATTGGTTCAGTGGCATCAAAGTTTTTAAGATCTTAGATTTGTAGGTTTTTATTTTCTTTGAAGCAAGAGTTGTTGTAATAAGGCTACTTGTATATAATCTTCGCCAAAAGAGAAGATAAGAAAAAGAGTGAGAAAAAAAAAAAAAAATCCCCTCCAAGATCACATTAACTTTTATTCCA